ACAAGCAAAAGACATAAAAGGGTATATTATTTCTCTATCTTCATTTTGGAGAAAAAAAAAAAAAGAAGAAGAAAGAAAAGAACTCTCCTTTGACAATTTCTGCTCGCTTTCCTCGGCGATTAGCCGGCTTTCTTGCCAGCGGATGGCCTAAAGCCGCTCTCCCTTGTCCCAGATTATCGCCTGCTCCAAGAGATTCGCGCCATCAGAGGTTGGAGGATGCCCGTCAGACGGTACCTGCTGAGTTGGTCGCCATTCGTGGGAGTTCGTCGGCTTTTCTGGCTGTGTAGCTGTTTGGGTGGTGGTGTGTGATTGAGGTGGATTGAGGCCTTGGTTGCTCGCTGTTGTCGGTGGAGGACCGGCCGAGGTTTAAGGGTGTGGCTAGATCCCACTGTTTCTCTGATTCCTCTGGTGTGAAGGGTCGATGAAGCCTGGCTTACCTGGATTTAGGCTAGTGGTGATGGTCGGGTTCGGGGGTGGGTTGTGTGGTTAAGTTTGGCCAATGCTTGTCCGGTTTTGGGTCTGGTACATTCTCGTGGTGGTTCGGGCCTCGGGATTCCGGTTCAACTAGGTCTATTGGTAGTTCCGAGAGTGGGGGTCCTAGACCGCGGATCTAGCTGTGCGATGGTGGCCTTTTTCTGCTGGTGCCTTGGGCAGGGCTCGGTTTTTTTTCTGTTGGGGAAGGGTTTTGTCTGTCTTTTGTTGAGAGTTTTCGTATGTTTTTTTGTTGAGTTTAGCTTTCGTGTGTTAGTATTTTGTTTCGTGTTTTAATGTATTGTGTGTGTTAATTCTCCTTTTGGGAGCTTAATTCTCCTGTTGGGAGCTTGTGAGCATGTTGTGCGTGTTTCGATTAGGCTGTCTGTTGGGTTGTCCTCCCATGGATTCAACTGTGTACCTGTTTTTTCTAGCTTTTACCGGTTGTTATCTGCGTGTAAATATGTGTTCTATTTATAACATTATGTCGTTCGAAAAAAAAAATATTTTTTCTAAGTATGGTAATATGTATATTAGTATTTAATAGATTTTATGAAGCTGTTATTACCTAATCTTGTTTGTTTATTTGAAGAGAGATCGTGCAAATAAGCAAAAGAAGAAGGTGAATGGAGGAGATCGAATATGAAGACACTTGCTTCAATTTGGAAGATCTAGACCATGTAAGGAAATAGACTCCAAAAGGAATGATGATTTGGATTAAGTACCTTTATAACTGAGAGAGATCCATAACTATGTGAAGTCCACATTTGTAGTCAGAGAATTAGTTAATAGAGTCAAATATAATATTGACTATACTAGGAGGTAGTTTAAGTCGTGTAAGTCCAAACTGTACTTTGAGCGCGCAAATCAAACTATTAATGAAAGAGCTCTAAATGGTAGTGAGAATATCCGTGGATAGATTTTTAACTTTATTTATTTCATTTTTTTTAATTTTAGTGTTCCAACACATTCCGCGTGCTCTATTTTACACAATTTATTTATCCATAAAATACAAATAAGCTAATCCGAAGCGCTTCATTTTATAGCGTTACACAATTTATTTATCCATAAAATACCAATAAGCTAATCCGAAACGCTTCATTTTATAGCGCTTCAAGAATCAGCTTTTTCATCAAAACAGCTAAAAATAACATTCATTAACCAAACAATATAAAATGTTCACTTGTACAAATTTGGACGTAAAAAGAATCCCAGGTTGGCAAAGGTGAGCTTTCTGACTACACCCAATGAATGGGATATTTAAAAATTTTGGTTGGCAATATTATTATATATATAATATAATATATATAATAACAAGAAGAGGAAAAGCTATTACTTATTACAAATTTTCTATGGAACTATCGGATGGTTTTTTTATGGAGTCATCCATGACTTAGTGTATTGACACTTGTCCAAAATACATTTATTATAGGACACGCTGTCAATACACTATTTGTGAATAACTGTGGATGGCTCCATAAGCCGAGCCATTCGATGGTTCCATAACAAAAAAGTTACTTATTATTATTAGTGGGTGTTTTTGTAAGGTGTGTGAGAAAGATGCCCCCAAGTGATAAATTTAATCATTTGAGGGGTGGTTAGTGAAAAATCATTTTCTTTTAACAAAAGATTATTTGCCCTTTCAATTATTTTGAAATTTTAAATGAGGGCTCTATCATTGATCACGGATACTTAATTATATATGGTCTGAAAGATTCTTTGAAAATGATATATATTTTTCTATATGAGTTAAAACAGCATATATTTTAATAATAGTGAAAATAAGTTCTGATTGATTATTAATTAAGGACTATATATAATATGGCGGGTTGAATGTAGATACATTTCATAAAGTGGTAATTTTTTATACTAATTTGGATCAAATCAAATTTTGTATACTAATTTATTAAAAAAAAAAAAAACAGCTTTAATGTACCAATTTTGATGATTTTTTTTTATATTAACTTGTCAATATTTTTTTTTTTTTTTTTTTGATTTTCCGCGAGTTGGTGTGCCAATTTGGATTACTTTTATAATTACACTACAATTTACACAGCACAAATTTTTGGGTGAGACGACAACTCAATCATTAGACGGGTCGATCCTTTTATAATACTTCTTGAGAAATGGATATTTATAGTATCAAACGTCATATTTCTATTTATAATATTAAAATATGACATTTTCTAATAAAAGCATGTGTATTTTTAAAAATATTATGTCGGTCTAATAGTCAGGCGTAACACAAGACCTACTTCATAACACATTTGTAGTGACTGCAAAAATATATATAAATTAAAACATTGAAAATGGCATTAATTATAGTAAGTTGGATTTCAGCTTCACGAAAGGTTAACAGGTGTTTTCGTACCTTACTTAAATTACTTGAAAGAAAGAACATTTCCAATAACGTAATTAGAAATTTTCAGATCGGGACAATATGTCGGGAGGCTGATTAATAATTTATAAAGAAACGCTTTTTAATGGGATCCGAATAATGGAAATGGTGCTCTTAAACGACGTTAGAAGGGTTTATTGTTACAAACGGACCAGTGAATACACGAGAATCCTACGAATTGAAAATTGAAGTTTATATAATTCAATTTCTACTTCTACAAGTTGAACTAAACATAGAAAATCATATATTACAAATGAAAGTGGGAAGACAATGACAATAGCCGAAGCGAGTGTTGTTCCGCAAGACGAATACACCATGTAATGTAACAACGGGTTCAGACGTCTCATCTTCAAAGATACAACGGCCGACGTTTCGAAAGCTATAGAACACCACACTTTCAAACTTTAACGAACTTGAACGGAGTCGAGAACCGACAACTTATATGTAATATAATGCGCGAGGGTATTTCAGAAGAGTGTATATGCAAAAGATCAATATTTATGGTGCAACTTAAAAACTTTTATTTATAGAGTTTCAACTCAGGCAGAGGAAGCCACGCGTCAACTGTCACTTAAGGCTAGTACAACCTAATGATTGTTGTTGTTAAGGGCATCAAAATGGTCAGACCGTTTTCAGGTGTTAACACACCACTACTCTACCAGAAACAGTAAGTGGAGTCAACGTCTAGATAGAATGTATCTGCAAGGGGTCTCACACGGGTTGGGTCAAAACTCGAGTCCATATCAAACTCGATTTGGATTACATTTTGAGCCGCAATTTTACAAACAAATTTGCAAGAAAAAATTACATGGGTTAAACCCAAGTCCAACACTGGCTCATACCGTCCAAGGCGGCCTAAGTCCAATTGTCAAGTACCATGAACCAAGGGCAAGGCCCAGGCCCAGGCCCGTGTCCGTGCCTGTGCCCGAGCCTGAGCCCAAGCCTGAGCCCGAGCCGTGCCCAGTTGAGCCAGCTGGGCGGCTGGCTGGTGAGTCCAACATGTACGTAATAAAATTAGGTCTTAATGTTTTTGCCATTTTTACATTGTTACCATATCTCGTTTTTTCATCTTTATCTTTAATATCATTCGGTACAGAATCGTAGCAGTTTTATACGTCCTTTTATTATAACTAGATTCTGCGAACAATGTAAATTATTAGCTTGTTATAAATTATAATGATAAGTCAACTAGTGTTAAAAAGTCATGTGACTCAAATTAGAATGAAAACTCAAAATACTTTAACATATAGATTACTATAAATTATAATAAAAAATAACATAATTTTAACATAATTAAAATTAACAAATATATACTTTAAAATAATATACACTACATTCGTTTTAATTAAGTGTTGGCCAATAATATTAGTAACTTTTATCTTTACCATCACTTATTCAAGAATCGAAATAATACTGTAACAAGGTATCAGTAAGAGAAGAGAGAGAAATCTGTTTCTGAGTATTATTTCTTAACAATGTTTGATTATGTTAAATGTTCATGTTTCTTAATACTAAACACACGCCCTAAAATTACATCAATTTTATAATGGATGAAATACACATATAAATCTTATACTATACTATTATACATCATAAAAATCAAATAAAAGATAAAAGATAAAAGCTAATATTAATATTTAAATCTATTTTAATGATAAGCGATATTCTCCCACTACTTTTATTTATTTATCATCATATATTCGTACATCACACAAGCTGCGTACTAGTATATTAATTAAGAAACTAACCAAAATTAATTATGTAGGATTATTTTTTCAGATGTAGGAAGAATAAAGGCTAATGCATACTTGAATAAGGCTGTATATAAATGCAGTAAATATAAAGCATTCTCAGCAATATTTTGTTTTTATGTAAGGTGAGTGAAGTAATTTTTTCAATATAATCCCCTTTGACATTATAAATATTTTGATACATACTAGGTAGGGAAACAAACTTCATTGTATTACACACCATGCATCACATGAACAGACACTTTAGCACAATTAACCATGACTTTTGTTCTAATGTTGGTTTGTTTCATCATAAAACCAACGTGAGTCTCCAACAAAGAAATGTGTTGCATCGACTACTCACACATTGCATCGACTACTCACACAGATGACAGATCATGTTACCATATTGCAACTTCTGTCTGACCATCTTCTGTGGCACAAGCTCTGAACATGCCACCCGTATTAAACGGCATTGTGACTTCTCCTGTGGACGAAACGGCAATCAAACCGGCCGTGCCTCTCGGAGCACACTTTTGGATAACGTAATTCGCTGCTTCATTCAGCGAAAGCCCTTTGTACTCCATAAGGGCAGCCACATCTCTTGCCACCGTAGCACGGATTATAGCTTCGCCTTTTCCAGTAGCCGAGACAGCACAAAATCGATTGGCATAAGTTCCTGCTCCAATTATGGGCGTATCGCCAATTCTTCCCACCATTTTGTTCACCAATCCACCCGTAGATGTAGCAGCAACTAAGTTTCCATGGCTGTCAACAGCCACACATCCAACAGTTCCCATCTGACTATCACCGTTGGGGAGAGTTGATTCATCTTTAGCATTTTGAGTTGCTTGAGCATTATAGTCAATCTAAAAATGAAAAAGAAACAGAAAAATAAAAAAAAATGATGGCACGTCTTAGATATGGTTGATTTATGTTTGTTTGATGCTTGATATGTTTGAAAACAAAATAAATAATTAAGGCATAACCGGCTTTATGTGAGGAAGGAAGAGTCCCGAGCAGTTTCCGTATATCACTAGTCCTTGACGTATAGTATGTCATGCATCAGAAGAAAACTTCGGATTCTAGTGTAAATATATGATGCAAACAAAAAACAGCTGAACCTGAACTGTATCAGGAAAGTGTACACTCGGCAGATAAAGTTTAAGGGTCTCTTTGTACAACCTAGCAGACTTGGGTAGCACTTGATTTTTCATATTTTTCTACTATGATATTATTATGGTTCCCAAATACATAAAACATCTAACATGCAGATATTTTCAAGAATGAATTTAATTTAGCTAAGCTTAAGTACTTTTAGTTGGTCCACGAGATTTATTTGGAATCATAATCTAAACCATTGGATGTTAACACCATGCAATCTCCTCGTATCTCACCATGCATACTAACATGTATGTGTACTCTTTGAACTATACCAAATAAAGAAGTGATTCTCGAATCATATATATGCGCAAAATCATCTTTCAAATAAGTTTCTGCGGAATATAAATTTTTAATTTTATGCATCATACAGGTCAAAAAATAAAAGAGATGTTTTTAGTCATCGATCAACTTTCTTAAGGTTATCAAAACTGTCATAGGTGGAAACGCGGTCAGACGCAAAATTAATCAAGTCTCATTTGGACCTCATTTCATATTACAAACTTTTACTTGTATGCTTTTCATGAACTATGTTATGCTAATTAGTTGTATTCAGCGATTTAAAACCTGAGCATTGCAGAAAAATAGAAACAGAAGATAGTGGTATATGAACTAGAGAGAACAGTTTAACTATATGATTGCCTATGGATTGAAGGAACTTGGATCTAGAGAGAGGGCTCGAGGGATTAGTTTAACAGACTTTATAAAAAATAATTTGAAATCCTCAATAAACAACTCAAAAGTAGAGTGTAAGGATTTGAAAACAATTGTATGATGACTATTTAACCATCTCAACGACTTAGTTATTAACAATTTGAAACCCCCTAAAGTCAAGTCCATCAGAGTAAACAATACCTATGGTCTACAATACAAGTTAAGTTGCAGCCTTGTTAGTAAACAGACATTTTCATCAAATTGAAACTGGAGTCCTTTCAAAATTCTCTCCCATGAGAGCCTAATTTCTCTTGTGAAAGAGATTGAATTCTCTCTGATTAGAGATTTCTTGTATTCCGCTGGGTGGGGGTTGGGTACCTTCAGAAAATTAGCTTTCACATGGATTCCAGTTAGCCTGGGGCTACTAGTTCGGTGGGTCTAACGGATGATTTGGGAAGCATGCTGAAGAACATTGCGCTATGAAGCTCGAAAAATGAAGTAAATGAAATTGAGGAGGAGGATATAAGGAAGAGTGCAACAGAAGTCTATTTTGGAGGATTATTGGGGATCGGAATGCGAGTTTAATTGGCATCAGAAGAACAATTGGCCTCAGTTGGCAGATACAGAACCAAGTGGAGGTGAGGGAATTAGCTACGAACTTCTTCCATTTTTTTTTGGGAAGCGTTGAAGACAAGAAAAAAGTAGCAACTGGAATTCATTGAATCTTAGAAAATCAGTATATGATTCAAGGACTAACAGAAAAGCATCCCGGCTTCTCTAATCTCAAGCTGTCGGGGGTCCAGGTAAATAATGTTCCCCTGAATTGGTTGTGCGCAGAAGTGGGGGTCGAAATTGGGAGGAATTTTAAGAAAGTCAAGAACGTGGCAGTAGTTAAAGCTGGTGGTCTCAGAGGTAGCATTATTCATTTGCTGTTGGTAGATGTTAAAGAACCTGTGCCCAGGCGTGCTAGCATGAAGCTACATATTCGTTTGCTGAACATGTTTGTTGTCTTCATTGCGCCATATATGGTCTCAAACAGATTCCAGGTGCTTGGTTTGAGCACTTTGTCTCTATCATACGAGCTGGTTTTTCCCTTGGTGATCATCATCTGCCATGTTTAATCATCTCTACATGGACGTACTTTACTTATTTCTCATGTCAAGAAACAACTTGGTCAAGAATTCAAATGTTTGATTTGGGTCCTCTTAGCTACTTTTCGGGCATTAAGGTGATGCATTCTGATTCGGACTATTACCTTTCTCAGTCCAAATACATACAAGATCTTCTTGTTTGTCCTGGTATTAGTGATAGCCGGACAAAGGCTACACCTATGGATCTTCACTTGCAACTTCGTCCTACATATGGTAGGCCAGCCCATATATACTAAAGGCCCTAGGTCCAAAACCCTAAGGTTTGTAACACCAACAAGCACATTGTCCAAGTCCACTCTGTTGGGCCTTTTAGTAGTGAACTATCTTTCAATAAAGGGTACCTATGCTGCTGTGCTCGGGTATTTATTAGCACCATTCATCTTTGTATTACATCTGCAATTTCTGGAAAAATTTTATGTTTCAAAAGAACATAAAATTATGCTCATGTAACATGTTAAAGTTAATATTTATAGATTTCTACAGTTAGAAGGCGATTAAATCCAAAAGATGACTAAAAAGGAAAGTGGGCAAAAATGCAAAACAATCAATGCAAAGTGATTCGTTAAAAATATACCATAAACAGCCATATGTTACTAACTCCACTTCAAAGATGGACCATACCTGAACTCTATTAGCTTCTTTTGCTTGTTTAAGCCTCTCAATGTTTTCAGGAGTCACCAAACAGCTTGAATCCACAGTTTCAACACCCTTTAAGAAAAAAAATAATAATAATAACTAGTGAAAAAACATGAAAAGGAGAAAGCATCAGAAAATTGACAAAAAAAAATAATGGATTTGGAACTCATGACAATTTATATTATACAATGACTCCTAAGATGAACTACACACAGAAGAAAAATCCTTTGACGCTTATTTGTTAGTTGAGCAAACAACTGTGCAGAAGAGGAGACATGATTCATGCATTTAGTAAGTAAAACTGTTGGGAACAACTCATGAAGCAAAAGCAAAATATTGGAGGAGACAATCACATAACATAGATAAAAGTCAAATTCATCAAATAAATTATGCACAATTGAATGATAAAATAGGCTTTAATGAAGAATTTCATGATAGCTGGATGCAAAAGATACTTAAAACACATGGGCGTGGAGAATCTAGATGAAAACATATACTTTTTGACAAAAAATCTAGTTCTGATTATATATGCAAGAGATTAGGTGCCATTTAGAATAATGGTAGATGTAAGCCACCTTAATGCTATGAGTAGAAGACTTGACAGAGAATCTAGAATTCTGAAAATGAAGGAAAACAGTATAGGCATCAACCAATGTTAAGACTTAAGTGTCAGATGCACATTTAATCACATTTTCGTCTGGATAATGTAGCGGTGGTACTCTTTTTCCAGCCAAATGAGATTTTACCAAGCAGTTTGAGGTTTTCACTTTTAACGACGCCTACACTTTGAGTAGCTGATCGGCTTAATGATCAGAATTTTTCTTTTATTTATTCCTACTGTCAATGTCCTTAACTGAAAAGTATGTACAATTAATAAGCACATGAGTCCAACATGCTAACAACATATCCTTCAACGAAATTTAATCAATCCGTCACGAAATAACAGGGCTAAAAAACCGAAGTTCTACTGGATGATGATTTAACAATCTGATGTAATAATAAATCATAATACATATTCTACCAGAAAAAAGGGGAAAATCTATTTATACTAGCCAATATCTAGTACTTCAGATCAATGTTCCTATTAAAAAATAAAAATAAAAAAAAAAAAAAAAATCAGTCATCTGCTTGCAAGTAGCATTGTCTTGACCATGAAACAAAATACTCAGCATATTTAGTATTCAAATATAAGCCCCATGTTATAGGAAAACAAAATGCTCAGCATATTTAGTATTCAAATATAAGCCCCAAGTTATAGGGGGGAAAACACCAAGAATTTAACATGTTATTGAAATAAAATCTAATATGAAGCAAATCCTCTTACCTAATGAGAAAATCCAAAAAAATTAAGTAATTAGATAAAGATGTGCAGAATTATATATACTTGTTCCCTTGCAAATGCCTCGGCTCCATCAAATCCAAGATATATATGACAAGTTTTCTCCATAACTAGCCTTGCTAATGATATGGCATTTTTAACCGTGGTAAGACCAGAAACAGCTCCGCAGTTCTTCGTAGTTCCATCCATGATACAAGCTTCCATCTCTACAGTTCCATCGCAAGTCAAAACAGAGCCTTTGCCTGCGTTGAAATGTGGATTATCTTCGAGTTCACGGACCTGCACGATTCAAATTACACACTCAAACCAAAACTACTGACACAGCTACAGAAAATCAGCCGCAGAACATTCTGATTTTTTAACTAGAAGAAGTTATATAACAAATTTTATTCATTCCCAAATCAGTAAATAACAGATGTTCCATATAGCTACTTCCCTGCAAATATCAATAAAAATGAATGATATAGTCCATCCAATACAAGCCCAATAGATATGCGGTTAAGTTTTTCGATTAGATTTATGTAAAGAACAGATGTACAAAAACTTCACCCAAACAAAAAGCAAAAGGGCCACACAAAGGAACAGTTTATGCTTACAACCTTCAAACCATGGAAATATAATACATCCCTAAAAACAGCAAGATTCTTCTTCCGTCAACTGAACAAGAAACTAAAAAAGAGACACTACAGCAGAACGAGATACTTCATCGGTAGAGGTTTCTGTAAAAATTCAATCATCTGCTCAAGAAGGTAAAAGAAAATAGTAACGTACTACGAGTTCGACAACGTCCAGAGGAGGAAGGCCAGCTTTGATAGCATCAACACCGATCTGCAGACAGTAGCCGAGGGCGGCTTCTCGAGGCTGTCGCCGCTCCGGCGGAATCGAAATCGGAATGTCGCCGGCGCCTCCATGAAGTGCTATTGCCCAGCCCATTGTCCCCCAATACTGGATGCTGTTCTATGTTGGACCGGATCGCTCACAATACGACTCGGGACCCATAACATCTTTTATGTTTTACATGTCAGCGTGCACTTTTCCTAATTAGTTGGGAAAAATCTAAATGAGAAACATATTTATATATACTAGTACAGAGCCCGTGCGATGCACGGGGTGCACAATTTTAAGATTATTTATCCAGTCTTATAATTATATAAATGAATAAAAAAATGTACGGGATATATAGTACAGGACCCGTGCGAGACACGAGATATATTTATTTAGGGAATATTATATTATAAGATGCAATATTCAATAAAAGTTTTATAGTACGCAGGAAAATTATACAATAAAATAGTATCTGACAAAAAAAAAATCATATATTATTAAAGACCTCCTTGTACATAGATATTAAATAATTTATTAGTAAAATAGTGAATAAGTTGATTACAATAACAAAACAACATGCTCACTGGATTTGTAAAAATATTCCATGGATTGAAGATTTAATAGGATTAAACATTTAAATTAATTAACTTAGATAATTCAAAAGTCTTCCAACATTGTTTTGACTTTAATATATTACAGCATGTGTATACTTTAAATATATTAATATTTAAAGAACTTTAAACAGCATAATTTTTTTAAAAAAAATATTTTAGAGAACTTTAAACAGCATATTTACGTCACTCATAAAACAAATTATATTTCAACATCATAGTTATAGTATTATTTAAGGAACTTGGAACAGCATTGTTAAATATTTACGTCCACCCATAAAATTTTTACAAGTCGAAGGTAATTAATCTCGTTTCTTTTTTATTTGTTTGTTTGTTCAATTTTTTTGACAAAACTGATATCATGGTTAAAAAAAATTAATATTAAATAAATTAATTAAATAATATAAAATAATATACTTTAGACAGATATAGGATGCAGATAATCCTCTCATACCAAACAACGCGATTTCAAAATTGACTCAGATCCAGCAATCATATCCAATATTCCATATAAATACATTTTAAATAAAATGCTTTAAACATAAATTAGATAAGGAATTTTGAATTTGCCTTTTTTTTAGTATAAATAGGCTTTGTACATTTTTTGACTTCACCGATTATGGGATATGTTTTGACTAAATCGATGTTATTATGGAATAAGACAAATAAATAAAGTCTTGTTTTATTTTAGTAAAGATTTTCTGTACTTTTTTTTTGACTTATCGGATGTTATGGGATTTTTTTTCCTTAAGCCGGTTTTTATTTTAGTAAAAATTTTAAAGAATAACTAATATAATTTTATTATCTAACCATCAATAAAATCATTTAATGATGTGATCATTATCTTTTAAATGATAAATAATATTTTTTTAAAAAAAAATATTAGCTTTATATAATTAAATAAAGGTTAAAAAATATTACTCGACAAATATTAATTATAATGGATATCAGTAAAATCATATCTGGATAATAAATGTAAATATGCAAGCATTTAATGCATATAGTAAAAAATTTCCAAATAAGGTATGCATTAAATGTGTGTTGACTTTTCTTGCTACTATTTTTGGTAAATAGATTGGCTTTTAATATATATATAGATATAGATATGCAACTTATCTTATTTAATTAAAAAATTAGTATTCGATCATGTAAACATATACAGAAAAAAATAAGAGTTTATATATTACATGCATATATATAATATTTAAAATTTTAAATTATATAATAGGTGCGTCACATTTTTAAAATTTGACTATTCGTAAATGAATTGTATTGTACATAGAAAATATAAGAACACAAAGCTCCCCAAAAGGTGTAGCTTAAATACGGAGTCAAGCCCATGCCAAAATGTGCGGCCCATAAAACTTGCGGACCATCTTCCGGGCGGCCCTAGAGCCTGAGATGAGGTTTGTTGATCCTTCGATTAGTCGAGACCTGGTCTTGCCGATCACCATCTGAGTCTTCTCGATGAAGATTGATGATCTTTCCTCGGTCTAAACGTCAAACTGATAATTAAGTTGATGGCACCTCACAATCCGTCTCATCATCATAAAAAAAGAGAGTTTGCATGGATCCACGTGGCGCTTCTTCCTACACCCCTAGCTGACAATGGCCATTTAATGTTTTTTTTTTCACATTTTTCATGTGTAAATAAATAACTTCTCTCCAGGTCCTAAAAGAAGATCCAAAAATAACCAAGTACAACCTAAAAATATGACCAAACACACATAGAGTTTCTTCCTCATATGACTGTAAACATCCTATACAATTTCTCAATGAAAATTCCAAAGAACCATTCTCCTTGCCGAATGCCACAGTCGTCGGCAACATCCGTGTCTTTTTTTTTCTTCATGCATATTTATTTTTCTAAATTTGTTTTGTATCTTACTGAGATTTGTTACGATTAGTTACACCATAAATATACCTTACCAACCTAGACCTCCTCACTATATACGGCCATCAAGGGTTACATCTAGACCTTCTCACTATATATGGTCATCCACTGTTGAGGTTTTTTCACATACACTTTCTCTCTTCCACTTTATACATACTCCTCATCATTGTCAAATGAAGGGCGGCACAACCGACTTTATTTTCTTGTTGTCTACCGGTAGAAAGGGCAGTTCAATTAACCCTCCATCACCAGTTACCTCATTACTCTATCGAAATAAAAATCTACACGAAAGTGTCCAAAAATTTTCTCTTTGTCTCCTCTCCACGCAAAAAAAACTAAATCTATACACTATGCTAAAATATGTATTAGCCCACCTTTGACAAGAATACCTATCGATTAGGCTACCCTCAACAAGAACATGAGGGTGTAAGGTTCGTCGAACCTAGAGTAACGATGGCTTCCTCAATAGGTGGGGCTTCCTCAAATCTTGTCCTCAAGTCATGAAATTTGTCAACGCGGCAATCTTCATATAATTGTTGGGTGATCAGTAAATTATATCCGATCTTAATCGCCCAATATGTCGATCGCCTAACCGAGTTGCTATAACACGTCTGGGGGCTAGGACAAGCAATGACCAGTGAAGTAAACCTCTTCCATGGGTCAAGATAAACCATCAAGGTCAGCCGATACCATAACATACCCCCAAGATCAGCAACAAATATTTAATCTGCAAATATAAATGACGGATATGTACAGTAATGCACCCTGAGACATTTTCGGCAAAATATCATCCCAAGAGTCATCGGCGAAATAGGCAAAAAAAATTTGTTCTATTAGGAACGTCATCGATATGCATATCTGAATCTATCAAAATAAATCTTAGACCCACGGATGGGTTTACATGCTCATCTAAACCAAAAAATAATAATATATGGTGTCCCACCGTGCGAATAAATTTATTACAAGCAATTAAAACCCAAAACCCTCAACAACCTAAGGCTTTAAAACATACATGAAATTAAACCATACATTCAAGGCCATAATGGTGGATTAACAATTAAGCCTTCAAAACCGAGTTATTCAATAACAATAATCCAATAATTATAAGTCGTGCCTTGAACACATTTAATTCATGTACATATATAAGCGCAGTGGACTAGAGTTAAAAACAAATACTCGCGGCTTAAAATGTTGTAGACTCAGAGTCATTTCTGAGGTTTGTTAATGGAGATCGTCTGATCGCTCGTGAATCGCTGGAATTAAAAACAGATGCTCGGAGGGGATCACTGGTCGCAGATCACATCGCGGATGGCACTCGGGCGTGCACGGGCGACACTCAGATGTGGGTCACAGGTCTTGGCGCTCGGTCGCGGTTGGCGGTCGAGATCGAATGTCTCGGTTTTATCTCGGAACTTCTATTGTATTACCTCTACACACTTTGTTTTGTCTTTGTGGCTAACTCACAAAGTTCTCAAGTATATTTTCACCACCATGAGGTGTGTATTTATAGGATACAATAAGGACTCTAAGGAGGTGTCGAATATAGGCTTACCAAATATTGACCCAATTGTTGGCTAAGCCTACTACGCTCATATTTGAACGACTCTTCAGTCCATTAGAAAAACCGTTGATCTCTCCATTTGGCTCGTGAATTACAATTCGAGGCCCCGATAATAATTACTCGATTTATCTCACAATGTTTAAAGTATAATTTCAGTTGATTAATTAATTACTGATAATATATAAATGACTTCTCGTGCCAAGACAAGTACCACTCAATGCTTTATTATTATATCGAAACTTAATCCACCTGCAGGGTTTAACATAATGATCCTTTTTAAGATCATCTCGTGGACATCATCATACTATCTCACACGCTGATCGTAAATAATCAAACAACACACCATACACACAAACCACTACCCAGAACACGTCAGACTATTTAACTCAGCAGAATGAGTCTCACTTTCAGTGAATCAAAGTAGTAGTTATTTTATGCAGTGTATGTTTATAACATACATGTTAAGAGTACGCAGTAATTAACTGAGGTCTACTTTGTTTACGATCAGTTCGAAACAAACATATTCTATCTAAGATCCATTCAGTACACACAGTAGTGCAACCAATCAGTCAAGAAAGACTATACAGGTAACACTACAATCGTTTGCAAAGGGTTGTTCATTTCCATTTGTGCTTTACAAGTACCAATACTAAATCTAGTGTCCCATCCTTGATGGATGAAAATATCCAAATGTAAAACATCATTACATAAATCACTTTATTTAAATGCGTTTTTCATTCAAAAGAAATATAATGTTTATTACTCAAAAAGTCAAGTGTTAAGTACATACACTAACAAGGACTCGGTGTATTTATAGGCTACAACAGGAACCCTAAGGAGGTGCTAAATATTTACTTACCAAATAGGAATAGGAAACATTGTGTTCACACCTTATTTTTTCTTGAACTAGTAAGGGACACGTGCGATGCACGTGGTGAAATTTTTTTTTTTGCTAATTTAGTTCACGAGGAGATGTGTGTTTCATAATATTATGTTTTCTTAAACTCACTCTTAATAGAATGTATGAAGTGGCCGGAACAAA